CAATTTGAGTTGAATTACTGAAATAAATGAACTTTTCCACGACATTCTAATTTATTGAGATGCACCTGTATATCATACAGACTGATTGAAAATGTAAAAATACAGAAAGTTACGAGTGATGGGTAGGTTTAGGGGTAGGGTTATAGAATATACTGGTATGTAGGGGGATAAAATATACTGTCTGTACAGTAGAAAAACAACTACGCTTATGGAATGTCTCATAATGTTAGAAATACCTGTGTGTTTGTTATGCAACGTAGTCAGTGATTGGACTTTGTCTTTTTAGTTTACTGTTTACATTTGTACTGTTTGCCAAATCTTTTCCAGTGTTAAATATTTTGTTGCTATTTTGTTTAACTGAATCCGAATTAAATAAAGCGAATAAATAAATCTGTATTTAAAAAAAATGCACAACTGTAATTTATCACATTTGCAATAAATGGTTAGCGAGCTTTAGAGCATTAAGAATGGGTATCTCAACTGTACCATGGTACTGTTTCAACTGTACACTATATGGGTACAAGTTGAAACAAAAATGCACTACGTATGGCTATTATCAATTTATGATATTTTAGTACATAAGCAAAAGAAATATCATGTGAAAAATCACTTTCTTTCAGCATCTAGTTTTTTGAACCTTAAACCGCATAAACTCATTTCATTACACCAAATACACAAAATAATGTTCTTTTTAGCAACATCATATGACCCCTTTAAGACTGTGTCTTAAGAGCTTGGCTAACTAGCTGTTAACCAAGTGGTTATCAGTCTTACTTTTCAGATTCAAATTAGACCAATCCAAGTTTTTATGTAACTGCCTTTAAAGTTATGGGCAGTCTTGCAGAAAAAATTAATAAATAGGTGTCTAATTTTTAAGACTAGTCTAAGCAGTTTATGCAACCGGCCGTGTAGTGTGTGATCAGGAAAGTCACATCAAGCACAATTACTAAACAACTGAGGCTCGCGGTCACACTTCACTAGTACTGACTAGAATGGCGTTATTTTTAAAAGTGTTTCTGCAGTTACACATAATATTATTCACATTTCCTATTTCTATTATTGCCCCTGGAAAGAAAATGAATAGCTTATTATCCTTTTATGATTGTTAAACTTAACGTATATCATTGCAAACATTACTCTGTGCTCTAAAAATAGACATATTTTAAGACATCGTGCAATGCAAGGTCTTTCATAATGTAGAGAAACGTGCGAGTATGTCACGCAGTGTCTCAACTATACCCGGAGTGGTGTCCCATTGCGTCACATGCTGTTTCGTTGTACAGTGTTATGATAATAGGTTAAAAGTCACATTTACACACATGCTACGCAAATTATGTTAAAAAAATTATATTTGAGATATTTCAACTGTCTAATATTAATGGACATATTTTATAACATGAATGTTAAAAGAATAACATAGCATTTTGTGAAACATACCAAGGTGGTAACGTGGGTAGAGTTGATACACCCTTTATAGGTCACTATAAATTGTATGCATGAACAGTTCAATCATAGAAAATGAAAAAGAGGCTGCATGTGTGTGTGTACTGGTATTACCTACGTTATGGGGACCAAATGTCCAAATCTGTATTTAAAAAAAATGCACAACTGTAATTTATCACATTTGCAATAAATGGTTAGCGAGCTTTAGAGCATTAAGAATGGGTATCTCAACTGTACCATGGTACTGTTTCAACTGTACACTATATGGGTACAAGTTGAAACAAAAATGCACTACGTATGGCTATTATCAATTTATGATATTTTAGTACATAAGCAAAAGAAATATCATGTGAAAAATCACTTTCTTTCAGCATCTAGTTTTTGTGTAGTGATGAAAAACGCAGAAAGTTTCTCTACTGTACTCTGTCAACCCTACTTGGTGTTACTATATTTCAGATTTGTTTTGTCCACAGAAATGCGTTATTCACTACTGTAAAGTGACTTGACCGGCGGATGTTTTATTTTCAAAAATGATCAATCGATTATCAAATTTGCTGTCGATAATTTTAATTGTCAACTTTATCATTAAGTTATTACACCCCTAGCGCATACGAATACGAATGTCATTAATTGGCATAAATATACATATCATACTCGATTTATTAAGTCATAAAGACTGTGCAATTATGGATCACACAAAAAGCGCAAGATTTTTTAATTCATCTGACTCATAGCATGCACCTTATCAGCAAAATTAACTTTTTTAAATAAACTACTTTCTTGTCATTCTGACAAAGACTTTATGACTCGCTGCATCTGTAGCTGTCATTTGGCCTGTGCACGAGCGAGTCTATCAATCCTCATCAAACTGCAACTTCAGAATCCTAATCACTTCATAAACCATGAAGCTAAACAGGTTAGCTGCGCCCAATCCCTCTACAAACCACACTAACACAATACATGCAGGCAAATATTCAGAAACCACGTAAGCAACGAATGGCCGACACTATCAACGCTAATCACAGCAGAAAGCTTTGCTGTTAATGTTTGTTTCATGACTACACTGTCATTAGCCAACAAGTGCTGCAGCTTGTGCTACTGCTTTAGCCGTATTTAAAGGCTCGATCCTCTCCAGTTTTGCTTTACTGTTTTCAATACAGCAATAACACAAAGCACCTCGGAAAGTTTTACCTTTGACTTTTCCAAACGTTCCCACTCCTAGTGTGTCTCCGAGAATATAATGTCCGATTTTCACCCTGCCTTCATGTTTCTGTTTGTCCGTCGCCATCTTTGCTCAGAGGCCCTACCTGAGAGAGGCGGCAGCAGCAGCAGCAGCGGGACGGGGGCGAGAGCTGCGTCTTTACTTCTTCTTCTAATAACGTTTTATGGCGGATGGCAAACCAACTTCTGGTGCATTTACCGCCACCAACTGGACTGGAGTGTGGAGCACTAATAAGCAACTAATATATACATATTTATATTTATCTATATTTTATATAAAAAATAAAAAAAAAACACACACATTCCTAAATTCTCCCGATTAATCCTATTTCTTTAATGTCAATGTTAAATCTATAGCTGACCCAATACCACGTACCAAATCTATTCTTGTGTTTCTACCATCATTTAAACATACTAACCCATTACGGTCTATTATTTCTTCTACAACATCCCCATTATGATCATCATTACTGCTTCCCCATAAAGTGCTATGTGCATTAAAATCTCCACACCAAATTATTTTATGATTTCCTAACCCAATAACCTTTTCTAAATCTTTACTTAATCTACGACAAGGATTATAATAATTTATTATTCTGATATTTTGTTTCTCTGCATATACATCTATAACCACCACTTCATGTTCTTCAATCTCATTAATGACTCTGTATTCTAATTCATTTTTTATAAAAGTGGCCACCCCACCTCCATTACCTGTCTTTCTATCCTTTCTTACAATATTATATCCTTGCAGAACAAAATTTAATTTAGGTTTTAACCATGTTTCTTGTACACAAATTATGTTTGGTTTCTTATTTAAAAGATCTATAAACTTTTTAAATTCTGGACCATTTGCTATAAGACTTCTGGCATTCCATTGCAGAATCATTAAAAGCATTATTATTATTATTATGTACTTCCACATGTTGTTTGAGTACTAGATTGAGTCTTTAGCATGTCATTTATTTTTTCCAACGTTACACCTGCTACATTCAAGTATCTCTCAGCTGCCCTTATTATGATTTTAATTCTCTCCGTTCTGCTTTCTGTTTGAGCAGAACAATTTACCACTTCAGCCATAAATGAAACAAATTCCATTTTCCCGATCACCAAACTATCCTCTTTTGTCTTTCTCTGAGCCACAGTATTCCCAGTCCATTCTTGTATTTTTATCTCTCGCTGTATCTGTTCGTTTTGTTTTGCTTTTTGGGCTGCTTCAGCATAAGTCAACCCCTCAGTTATTCTCACATTTTGAATTTTCACAGCATGTTTGTGAGCAATGCATCCCCCAAATCCAGCACTATGCACACCTCCACAGTTGCAGCATTTTGCCTTCGCTCCTTCACAACATTTACCATATACATGATCACCCCCACATCTCGCACAACGTTGTCTTCCTCTACAAACTGCACTAACATGTCCATACTTCTGGCACTTGAAGCATCTAAGTGGAAGAGGTACGTATGGTCTTACTGGATAACTTACAGAGCCTATTTTTACCCTCTCTGGCATTCTTTCTTCATCAAACTGAAGCATAACCGATAGACTGTCCGTCCTTTCTTTATTTCTCACATATTGAAGCCGTTTTGCTCCAATTACCTTCCCCCCTTCAACGCAACTTTTCATTTTATCAGCATGTACATCAGTAGGAATTCCAGTTATTACGCCTCTAACCCAAGGCTTCGTCTTCATCAATGTGCATGATACCGGGTATCCAGGCATCGAATTTATACTTAGTGCCTTATTTTGTTGTTTCTCGTCCTTACACATGATAATCAAGTTTCCATCTCTCAGAGTCTTTGCACTATTTATTTCTCCTAACGCTTTGTTCAGAGATTTGGTCAGTTTAATCGGGTTTATCGTCATACCAGGTTCTGCAAATTTCATCATTACTTTGTATTCCTCTATATTTTTCCTACTCACATGATCCTCCTTTCCACTATCCGTAAATGATCCTTGACTATTGTTTTTCTTTCTTTTCCGATTGACTACTTTCCACCATTCACTCCCTGCTGCACTCCCGCTACACGATTCGTCTTCCATTTCCGGATCACTACCAGAGCTACCGTCATTTCCTGCCATCAGTGCTCCAGTCACAGTCCAGTGTTAACGACTCCCATGCAACTCCACCTGCGTCTTTACTGACAACTACCGGTACAGAAGAGCGCGCCAAAATAGCAAGCTCCAAACGATTGGATTCATGATTAATACATTATAACAAAATATTAACTAACTGTACCAACAAAATTAATACAATAGATGAAATAAAAATAATAAAATAAAATTATAATTAATAATAATAATTTTATATGACAATGATAATAATGCTAATATTACTGTTATTATTATTATAGCAGGAATGAGTGATTAACTGGCTAAATTTAAGCTTAGTTTGAGTCTAACCACAAGTGCTGTTTACTGGGGTACACTATTGGATGTCAAAAATGAAAACAATTAGAAAACAACAATTATAAAAGGTTAGTTTATTGTTATGAAAACATGAACTGAAAATAATTATTAGAGACATTTCTGTTCTCTTGATGTTACACACACACACACACACACAAAAAGCAAATTCAGCAAATTATGTTAAATTGATAAAAGTGATGAAGACATATATTGTTATATATCACAGGTTCCAAAAAATAAAATAAAAGAAATAAAATAAACAGCTGAACTGCTTCTATATGTATGTGTAACTAATGTGTATATCTTGTATATATATATATATATATATATGTGTGTGTGTGTGTGTGTGTGTGTGTGTGACAATGACCAAACAAGAACAAAGCAAAGTTTCAACAAATATAAATGTTTTAATGACAGGCATTAAAAAGGCAAAAAAACATTCAGACATCAATTCTTTGATGAAGTTAAAGATGGTAATAACTTGATGTGAGTCGACTCATTGACTTGACAAGGACGATGATGAAGATAAGTATAGAGATGGAACCAATAACGATGGCAGCAATGTTTATGCGGCGAGCTCTGGCTCCATAAGACCGTGCCATTGGGAAGTCTCCAAGCAATCTGCTGTCCCTCGCCTGACACACATAAAATATGATAAGCTTCAGGTATTTGTAAAGCAGCAGGACAGTTATATAATTGCATATATGTATATTGCTTACCTTTATTGAGTTGTAAAAGGCCCCAAACCCAAGACAGCAAGGGTTGCAGAAGTGAAGATTGAATGTGGAAAAAATGATATCATCATTGACGTTTTGGTCAGGCATGGACACTATTACTGGCTGGGCAGTGTAGACTCTATTGTCCTGCATAAGGATCCCCCCAGGTGCTGGGTAGTTCTGCATCGCCATGTCAGTTCAATAGCAAGAAGCTGCTCTCAGTGATGTTTGCAAGTGTTCAGCTCTCTTTTATAGAGTCTAACTGGTGTGTACGTGTGCGTATTTTGCAATATTAAAGAACAATGGGCAGAGTTAAAGGGATAGTACACTCAGAAACAATGTCTGAAAGTAGCTGAAGAAATCTGTGTATTTTTTATTTGTGTAACTTTTATTACTGTTTTCAACACAGAGACACCAACAAACATGTTTAGACATGACACAAATAAAAAATTGAGTTAAAAAAAGCATTTACAGGAAACATAAAATGAATACCCATGGGTGGCTCCTGATGTTACTAGTGCTGTCAAATCAATAAATCGCAATTAATCACATCCAAAATAAAAGTTTGTGTTTACATAATATATGTGTGTGTGCTGAACAGTGTTGGGGAAAGTTACTTTTAAAAGTAATGCATTACAATATTGCGTTACTCCATAAAAAAGTAACTAATTACGTTACTTAGTTACTTTTTATGGAAAGTAATGCATTACGTTACTTTTGCGTTACTTTTTAAATCTGGACAGGGCTTGCTTGTTTGTTTTTAAAATAAAAAAAGTTATATTTTTGGCAAATATAAAAGCCTTTTCACACCAAAAGTGAAATGAATAAGCCTCAGGCTGAAGGGAAAGTAAATTTACGTCCGTACAGTAGAATGCAGAAGAAGACATTTCAACATATTTCAGCAATAAAAAAAGACACACAAATGTTTGTCTAGAGTAATTTTTGCTTATTAGTATGGTTGAACTGGATCATCGTAGGCCAGAAGCAAAGACATTGGTTAATAGAATGTGATTAAATACACAAAGGATATTTGTGTTGTTTAACATTTAATTATTGCAGGTTTGCGTTATATTCTGAGTTGCATTTTTTTAATTAATTTTGAGGAATACTGAATCTGTGTTTTTTTGTTTTGCGAGTGAGATGAATTAATGCATATTCATATTTATTTACTACAGTAGCATCTTATGATTTCTCTCAACATGAGGACAGGAGAGCTGTCAATCAACAAATTAGAAAAAAAAGTAACTTGCGTTACTTATTTGAAAAAGTAACAGATATTCTCTTGTAAATTAAAAAGTAATGCATTACTTTACTAGTTATTTGAAAAAAGTAATCTGATTACGTAGCTTGTGTTACTTGTAATGCGTTACCCCCAACACTGGTGCTGAATGTATATATAAATACATACATATAAATTATATACAAATATGAATACATGTAAAAATTGCTTAAATATATACATGTATGGGTATGTATTTATATATACATATAAATATACACACACACACACATACTATGTAAACAAACACAAACTTTTATTTTGGATGTGATTAATCGCCATTAATCGATTTTTTTGTTGTTGTTGTTGTTCTAGCCCAGTGGCTGAATATAGGACAGAACACATGTTGGGCTAACACATTGGTTCTCAGAGTGGGTTAAAAACATAGCAAAGGCAAAAGCGTCTGAGTGCTTGAATGGTGGCTGGCTCTCTGTCTTTTATAAAGCGGCTAGTTCCACTGAATTCCACTGGGTTGTTTATTTAACCCAGCATCCCACCTCTCCCAGATGCTCCGGGAGTCTCTCGCAAATGGATAGCATAGCTGATCTCTGGTGCTCACCGATTGTTCGTAATATCCAGGAAATTGAGTAAGCAAAAGAGAAGTGGCCTTACCGTTAAACCTGCAGGGTGGGATGTCTGCTAATAGTTTGATTTACCCATTCATTTTTACAATAATAATAGCTTATTTATTTTTTTTACGTCATACTTGAATTAGTACTTACAATTTAACCTAATCCTCTCTTTGTA